CCCTCCCCTTCTTACTTTCTTCCCTTTCAGTTCTACCCACTTGCATATTCTTGGTGCTTTGCCTCACCCAGATAACCTTCTTCCTGTTTCCTCCTTTTTCTTTCTACTAACTTCTACTTTGGGAGAGTAAGTAAAAGTAAAAAGCACCAAACACTCCCCCCCTCCCACACCCACACACCTTTGCCTATTGAAAAACTGTTCAGACCAGCACTACTGCTACAAAGCAGGCTACACAAATCAAATGCTGTTGAATACTATCACATGCAGGAGCACATGCGGGAGCTGGGAAGTCGGTTGGTGTCAAATCAACATAGTGTCTATAACTGTGTGGTTGGTGCTGCCCTCTTGGCTTTCTGGACACACACACACCCAGCACACCCATCTGGATGCATGAAGCAGCCATAAGCACTTGGGATTTAAATCTATCACACAAAAAGCGAGGTACCAAAGTTCGGTATCTCCCATGAATTAGCTGCCCTCTGATATAATAGCAGACTGATAGCATATATTTGCTGTTTATATAGCATATATGCCATAGTCAGATTTTTTAAAAAAGTGGTAAAGACTGACTATAATTTTCAGAACAAGTTAGCATACAATGCTAAACTATAATGTGATTTGTTAGTTTTGGCATACACTCAACACAATTCACTGACTTCGAGTAAATATGCAGATGATTCAGTAAGAGTAATAAAAGCATAATTGCTTGACCTTTGCAATTTTTAGGATTTGAGATATTTATACTGAGTTCTCAGACTATGGAAAGCATTCCCATTAGTTTTGAACATGTCCAGGTTAGCGCTTCTCACACTCTTTCAGCACATCCCAGATCTGAATTTAGTGTACTATATCACACTAATCTGTTTGCCTCACAGGGCAGTCAAAAGCTTCCTTTGATGATTCATTATTTGCTACCAGCCCAGATCATCATTTGGCAAACAGATTGTATGAATTCAACATGTTGTGATACTTAATTGGTCTGTCCATCTTTTGCAGGACTCCTATGATAATTGTTTGTTATTGCTAATTTTCTAATGGTCTACATATCACTAAATATTCCTCTTACATTTTTAAGCTATCACCCAGCTTGTCCCTATGCATGACAGCATATTACATCTTCACATATCATGGCACCTGAAAGTTTGTTTTCAATTAAAACAATCCATCACATGATCATCAAGACTGATACAATATTCTTTATACGTGTCTACCCATGCAAAGTGTTCAGAAATTGCAAAATGTGGCAGCCAGGCTGCTGACCACACATGACATAAAGATTATATGATGTCTGTACTAAAACATATGCACTGGCTACTGGTTGCCTGTTGGGCACAATTTAACAATTTGGTGTTGACCTTTAAAACCTTAAACAGCTTTGGGCCTGTTTATCAGCAGTCTCTCTCACTATGAAACTGCCCTGTTATTCAGATCAGCAGAAAGGACCTGTGCTGCTGCTAGAAGGCTGAATATCTAAAACATGGGAAACAGCATGCAGGAAAGATCTGTTGTAGAGGAGTACAGAGATGGCCTTGAAGAAGATACTTAACAGCTATTATGTAAGCACCAGCTTAGCCCTGGAAGGGAGGAGAGAGTGAGAAAAAAGCTCAAGGTTGCGCTCCTTGATTCTCTTTGGTATCAAAGAGGAACAGAGAGAATCTCTGTCAGACTTTCAAGATTCTGTTATTATGCCCTAAAGTAGTGTTCCAGTAGTTCTTGCGATGCCTGTTTCTGACCTGCCTACCTTAAAGGGCTGATATCTGGCTCCCAAACTCTGGAATATACTCGCTAAGGATGCAGCTTTGGCTCCTACTCTCCCAGTGTTATAGAAGATGGTAAAATCACACACAAAGAGAATAATGTGTCATTAAAATATATCTTTATAATGTCCTAAATTATTATGTTCTTGGAAGAAATACTAACAAATATTAATTTGACTCTGAGGTAAGATGTATTATTTAGAGACGTCTGTATTCTTTTGAACTACATACCTATTATATGAAAATTGACAACATGATAACAGAAGTGGATTCTCTGTACCCTTCATATTTCACCAGTGGAAGCATACATGTTTGCTACCAATTACTTGTGACTTATGAATGAGTTGCTTACAGATGTAGACTCTGTATGGACAAATACAATGGAATATGACAACCCTTTATAGAAACTGTTGCATAAAACTTGTGTGTGTGAAAAACCATTGTATATAATTTTTGTTGTTGTATTGCTTTTTTTTTCTTTTTGCTATTTTCGTTTTTCTTTCTTCTGATTTATTAAATAAAACAAAATAATTTTTAAAATATGTTGCTTTTTCCACCTTTTATATGGTTAATTTTTTAAATGATTGATTTTAATTTTGGTTTTGACTGTATCAATTTTGTTGTGTTTTGTATCTGTTTTTTTAATTGAATATTGGAAGGAAGGAAGGAAGGAAGGAAGGAAGGAAGGAAGGAAGGAAGGAAGGAAGGAAGGAAGGAAGGAAGGACATAGATTCCACAAACAAATCTATAAATAAAGCAGTGAATCTTAGCAAAGTGTGTAAGATTGAAGATGCTGAGTGTGCTGAAATCAGGGGCAAATTGATTACTTCATCCTCATGCAAATCCTATCCTAGGTTGTTGGTGTGGTTGGATTATGTTGATGTTGTTACTTTGGTTGGATTTTATCTTACTGTGGGAGATAATGGACTGGATCATACCTAGAATAGGCACATTGGAATTATGAATGTCTTAAATCCTATGGACCTCAGCAGAACTATAAGTGTAACTGAAGCTAGAGGTAATTTTCTCTCAGAAATTATGATTTATGCTTTCCAGATGTTTTGTTTCATCCCAAAGCCCTCTTCTAAGTGTTCATCCTGACTTCCCATACACTCCAAACTATATAATTGTCCCTGAAACTACATTCCTGAACACTCCCTAATCAAAGTATGGAAACAATTTCAAAAATTTCATATTTCCATGATGTATGGGGTACCACAACACTCACATGACCCCCCAAGAACAGCAAGTGACCTTCTAGTTGGCCCACCCAATAGTTATTAACTGTGTGAAAACCATTACACATGAGGAAAAAGTACATATGCCACAGTCATTTATGTGTCCTGCTTGTACTCACAGTACTTTCTTGAGGTTAAGATAAAGATGACAACATTTTATAATTAAGGGAACATTAAGTTAGAACAGTGCAGTTGCTTTAGAAATATTCAAAGGGTAGTTCCATCACGGAATAGCCTATTGAGCATTTTCCCACTCAGAGATTCAAAAAAGAAAATTTTGAAAAGAAAAAGAATCTGATAGAATTTAGGTAATTTTGCCTAAACTACAAATACCACTTCACAGTCACAGTTTAGTTGTAGATATCGTAAATCTTTCACTGCTGCTGGTAAATGCATTTTTTTTCCTTCAGATTTTTTGCTGGCTGGGGTAAAGAACATGTCAGTGCCCACACCACTCCATGCCATGTCCACAGGCTGTCTGAGCTGGCAGTTTACTTCTTTATCAATACCAAGAGTAGGACAGTATCTTGCACTGCAGCCCGTGGCTGCAGGTTAACATGCAGAGAAAGTCCTATTTTACATAAGAATAATCTCTAGCACTTTACAGTGCAAATGGTGATAACACTGACAATTCTGTGCCTATATAGAGATGGATAGTGTCCAGATCAAGCATGATGTAATAATCCCAATGGGCTGCAGAGGCTATTCCAGGCCCCAGGTAGCTCCTAGTCTGCCCCATCATGAATTGAGACTGCCACCAACTACCCTTGGGCCTTGCTTGGCAGGTGGGGCTAGGAGGCGTACAACCCTCTTGAATACTTTTTGTGTTTGTGTTGGTATGTGGGAATGACCTTGGGAGACAGGAGGGAGAGCTGCAGACTGGACAACCAGCCTGTAAAAGATGTCTCAGCCCACAGAAGGAAGGATGGCATGGGGAACATTTCAAAAGGGACCCTCCCTAGCTTTCCAGAGAGTAAAGGGAAAGCAAGGGAGAAATACTTTCAGTCTTGCAAGATTCTGTTAATGTAACCTTACAATAAAGGTAGAGCTAATATTCCTGGTTGTGCTTCTTATCTGGACTATCTCACAGGGCTAACAGTGTTTGCCATTGAATTCCTCTTCTTGTGAGCTGGTTCAATAGATGAATACCAAACATTGATTTTTTCCTAGTGGTTATATGGACAGGGGGGGAACAATCCAGTGTGTATTCATGTGTATATATCAGTTATGGGAATATAGACTGTTTTCTGCCCAAAATGCTCATCTCTAATAACATGAATCATGCTAGAGATCATAATACAATACCTGGATGAGAATGGGTTGGGAAAGCTGAGGTTCTACATGGTGCATGTAAGAACCTATCCAGCTAGTCTCTCTCTCTCTCTCTCTCTTTCTATATATATATATATATGTATGTATGTATGTATGTATGTATGTATGTATCATTGAATCAATAACACATTAGGATTGTGCAGTACTTTGAATCCAGTCTGTCTGGAAAATGTGTCATGTAGGAGTATCTTCAACTTTTTAAAACAGCTGCATTCCCCCACTCCCTGGATTTTAAAGAGTTTTAAATGGGTGCTAAATTTGTGATATACACATGCATTTCTAGTAGTGGAAATTTCATCTGCTTGATAGCTTTTTTAAGTGCCCATCAGTGCTTGCAATATTTAACAGCCAGGTTAATTTCTAGAAACAAGCCTCCATTTAGAATTTGCAAGACCCAAAAGGAACTTTATTAGACAGCAGAAACCCAACAAAGAAAAGTAAAAGCAAGAACAACTAAGTCAAATTGTTATATGACCTCCAGCCACCCAGTATATGTGCTCAAGGAACTACTGCTGAGTGAAACACCAAATTTCCATCTCTTGGTGATGGCAACTACCCATCGAAGTCTGGTGATGATTTAATTTGTATATTGTGTGAAGGATGTTCTTCAAGGCTTCTTACCAGCAACCACTTTGTCTATAGCAAAACAAGGAACAAGGAAGAAATGAAGAATTATTAGGCCCAAATCATATGTTAAGAAAGCAATTTTACTTTAAGGAAAGAAAAAGGTGTACTGGGGTATCTCTCAGAAGCTGCTTCTGTTCTGAAGCACTTCCTGGAATGATCAGTGAATGTGCAACATCCTTCTCATGATACTTCCTGGGCTTTCTGTAAATAGGTCTGCCTCTATGCCACTCTAGCTAGAGGACCGCAATTTACCTGTCACTCATTTCTGGCTCTGACCGACTGTATGGACTCTTAATGGAACTTGTGCTTTTATTGCATAATCTATTATTGTTGTCATCCAATGCAAAAGAAAGAACTGGCATTGGAACTGGCCCCATATGGACAAGAGATCATGATCCAATGTATCTGGAAAATGCCTAGCTTCTAGATGAGTGTTTTTCAAACTTGGCACTTTAAGATGTGTGGACTTCAACTGCCTGAATTCCCCAGTCAGCATGCTAGGAGTTGAAGTCCACACATTTTAAAGTTGCCAAGTTTGAAAAATGCTGTTCTAGATCATCTCCTTTTAACTTTGGCTGTCATTCCTTTGAAAGTTGAAATGACAGTAGCAGTATAGGAAATGGTAAGTATCTTGATACCTTTCTGAGGATTGTAGACTACAACTCCCACAGTCCCTTGACATTAACCATCTGGCTTCAACTGATAGAAAGTGAAGTCCAAAATTACATTCCTAATGTAAGTGATGTCATACCTCTGTTTGAAGGATGTATATAGTATCTTAGGCATTATCAATGTATCAGGCAAGGAAAAAGAACTCAGGGGTTAGCAAGTAAGGAGTGAAGGTGGAGTAAGAGTAAATCAAGGGAGATGGAGACACTGACATATAACAACTATAGTAGTTCAGGAAAGGTCTTCCATAAAATCTCACATTCCAATGAAAATCCAGGCTCAAAATATTTACAGAATCAGGATTTAGGGAGCAGAAGATGCCAAGTAGTGTATTTTGTAACATAATTCATTACTCCTGCTTTTCTTCTATCATGGAACTCAAGGAGGAGAATTCACAAATGACAGTCTTGGCATAGACCAGTTATCTGGATTTGATTAGCTTTAGCAAAATGGCTCTCCATCATGTACCTTCAAGCCTATATCTGGCAAACTGCATTAAAGTTTGCTTCCTCTCACTTCCCCTCCCTCATAATAACAAAACCTTACCATACGTTCCTGAGGCAATACCTGCAAAGCTGTAGGGGGAGAAAAAGAAAGAACACTTACACTCAAAATCACAGTGAACAAATGAACAAGTAACACTAACCCAGCTGACTGGGGCTGTTTTTCAAAAGCAAGTTGAAGAGAACATGTCATCTTTGTCAGTTTAAGTATTAAAGGTTTAAGAACAGCTTAAAGGATCGTGTTTTTTTAAAAAAAAACAAAAAAAAACCTGTTCAGAATTAGCCTGACTGACAGGAAGCAGGCCCAAAGAAAGGGTTGTGAAGAGAATCAGGAGGTATTCCTCCCCCCACAATTAATCCTCCCCCCCCCCCATTGCCTGCAATCTGTAGATTGAGCAACTTGACTGGTGGTAAACCCAGCATTCGATGCATCCTTCTAAAGCAGTGTTTCTCAAACTTGGCCAAATATTTATATGGTGTACGTTTTTACCACTCATCATTTTCCTCACATCTCGCATTCTTTTGTGGTGGTGTGGGGGTGGTG